ATGGCGTCCCACCCGGGAACTGCATGAACATGGATCAGCATGGTAAAACATGAAAGGGGACTGCCGACTGACGAGTCTTGGCTTCATCGATGGAGAGCTGGCCGCACTGGCTGGCGGCACGGCGCTCGAGACCGTTGGACGCAGCATCGACAGGATACCTGCCGTAGAGAGAACCGTCGCGCTTGAAAGCGACGTAGTGCCCGCGGGCTTCATCAACAGCGATATGGGTAATGTCCCTGGGAAGGATCCCGACGAGCTCGCTGAAAGGCAAAGCAGTGACGCCAGAAAGGGCAGTCAAAAGAGTGATAAACTAGAGTCGGTGCGTGTTAGAACCAGTAATAAAAACTGGGATGGGTTTGGCACTCACAGCGGCAGGCGTGAACATCGTGCAGTGAAGTGCAAAGGAAAGTAAGAAGGAGTGAAGAGAAAACGAAGGTTGATAATCCTCTAGACCTCATATCGACCTGCTTTTATACGTGAAATACTATGTTTCATGTCTTTATCACTGGTTTCATGACCTGAGCGAGGTAAGGAGGGGCTTTCGAATTGCACACCGAGCATGTGGTACGCGAGCGCTGGGCCGTGATGCGACGTTCGCCGATCGGGGGGAATGATGGTGGAAAGCTTCATGTACTGCACTGCATGTAAAAACATCACCACATTGACCAGAGATCAGGACATCGAATGAGGAATGGTTGCCTAAATCTACAACAGCATCGCAGTTAGCAAGTTGCAACGAATACCGACTTTGGCGCGAGGAGCTCACCAATAACTTTCAGAATGCACAGGCGGCCCACGGTTACCAAATGGTTACAGTTTCCATGCCGCGTGACGACGGCCACCCCAGATCATCAATATGCCGATCTGTAGGAGTCCTATCTCACGGCGCGAATAGCCAATTATATCGTATTGCCGCTCGTGAACGCTCCACAGCGGGACAAAATAGCCCGAAGATCAAGCGCGACATTTCAAAGGAGACCAACGTTCCTACGAATACAGATAAGGAAGAGATGGGAATAATGACAGACATACGAACGTTAGGCTTGTAGGAATAATGGCTCGGCCAACTACGACCTGATGATATTTCAGACATAGTCGGATTCTGGTATAGGCTAGTCAGTCGATACTAGAAGACTTTCGACAAACAGCCTAGAACGCACGTTCTCACAATTTCGAACTCGAATTTGAACGTATCAGTAAAGAGCGGCGGTCGAATCTCGGTGAGAACCGTCTGGGTGATATACGTGAAGGCTTGGCGTTCTTCTACATCAAAAGTCAAATTAACTATGCAGTGCTCGTAGGGATCATCAATGAATTACTGTCCAGCCGAAACGAGTTCAGAGTACGTCATTACTGTTTCACGAACGTTTACGCACCGCTATTTTCGTATGGATATTGCCGATGAGGCCAAAAGGAATAAGCATGCAAAGTGACAGAGAACCTCGGAAACTTATGGACCGTATTTTGCGAGCCCAGACAACCACTTCACACAATGACTGCAGACTTTTGGATGCCCCAGTACTACCGGTAAAGTCTGCGAAAACCAAACAAAAGCCTAAAACTTTTGGGATGGAGCATCTTTGTTCTATTCTGGGAGTCGAGAACACATGAATCCGTACAGTGTCAAAGAGGAGTAGCGCTATGCTGTAATATCGAACCTGAGTGGGCGTCAAGATAAAAATTTCGAGAGCAGGAAAGCCTTCGCACCCATAGGAACATTTTTTTTCCAATGTTTCGTTTCTGTGGCTGTCGAACATCAGGTAAATTCCGTATCGTTTTGACCATGGACCTCGTACTCACCCAGACAAAGCGAATCTGGAAGCACACAGTCAGTCAAAAAAAAAAAAGGGTCCGTAGACGTCGAGAAACTACACACCTCATCTTCCAGCGTCACAGCTTTAATAGCATCAGAGAGGCATTAGAATTTGTGATGGAATACTTGCAACAGCCGTGTGCTATCCAAGTCAGGCCAACGACTGCTACAGTATGTGGAAGCTCCAGAGAAAGGGACAGGAAGTCACGGACGATATGAAAGGGTGATAATATTCCCACGCCACAGACGTGTTCGGCAACCGTGATGATTTGTCAAGTGTGACAGCGTGATTAGTCCTCTCAGTTCACGACCACGACCTCCACCACTATTGCCCTCTATCAGTTCGTTTTGTTGCGCATATAATACCAGAAAATATACTCAAAAAATACCTGTCACCGGGTACAATGCTATGCCATCGGATTCCGGGCGTCATTTCGGCTCGGTTACCCATCAAGCCGGACAACAAATTTAACTCAGTCAAATGTTGACAGCGCTCTCTTCCTAACTTCCATCATGCAGAACGCTGGCGATATGACGAATGCGCGCGAGCGCTCTACCATCGATGTTACAGCAGTGAGGAACCTGTTGTATAGCAAGTAACCTTCGTTCTGTATTCTGCCTTGGATGCTGACATACAATGTAGATGGTCGTGCGCGCTGGGAGCAAAAGCAGAGGATTGAAAAGATCCTTTCCAGTGACCCTGTGTTTGACAAAATGAACAGGTATGCTTTGCAGAACATATCTTGTTCTGTATTGAGACGAAATAGACCCTTTATCACCCGAATGGAAGCGTATAGTCGTGGTCAGCGCCTAACAAATCGCATATATCAACTCGAGCAGGACTTAGGATGGACGAAAGATGATACCACTGTCGCTTTCTCAGTACTAGATGACCGTCTTCCTTCGGGTCTACACAGCGATGGTGTGTCGATGTCTCCTTTACGATTTCTACCATACCAATCCATGCATTTCTAGCATTTGAACCGGTTATTATTGGTCAAGGGATCACCAGTCCTTTTAGAAAAGTACGCCAAACTGGTTGCTACACGTGGCATCCTCGGATGCTACCTGCAAACAGAGCTTGGGCCATGGTTCTAACGTCGCTCAATTGGAAACGACTGCGACCTTTGTTCCGGAGACGCGAGAGTTCGAGATTCACTCGCCTACTCTTACGAGTACGAAGTGGTGGATCGGAGCACTCGGGAAGACCGCGACTCATGGAGTATTACAAGCGAAGTTGATCCTGCCGGGGGGAAAGGATATGGGACCCCATCTCTTTTTCGTGCCGCTTCGATCCTTGGGTTCGTCTATCCTATCGCTTCGTTCTATCCAGGTTGCTCATTTGGCTCAATAGAGGATCATAAGCTTCTTCCTGGCATCATTGCGGGCGATATAGGTACTTTTTCTTAGAGATTTATATGGTGTTCGTGCTGATATATTTATAATCTTTCGAATAGGCCCGAAGGCAATGAACGGATACGGTTCGGTTGACAACGGATATGCGCGGTTCGACCACTACCGAATACCAAAGGAAAATATGCTCTCCAAGTTTGCTCAGATTACTGAAGACGGTACTTATGTCAAACCGCCTCACGCGAAACTGAGTTACGGTGGGGTAAGGACCATCCCTTGTCGATATTGCTCTGGAACTGAGATGCCATTGTTAGATGATGTACATACGCTCTGGGTATGACTCTCAGCTTTAGATTCTAGTGTTGGCCTGATATCTTGCTTGTAGAATGATCTCTCATTCAGGGTCTGCGGTAGCTCGAGGTGCGTTTGATATGTAGGGCTTCTGGGCTTTGATTGACGTCAAAATAGCTATTACCATCGCCATACGGTATGCCACCGTTCGCCGACAAGGGGACAAGGGGGCGGATGACCTTGAGCGTCAAGTTATCACGTATCCGTCTGTGTATGGCCGACTACTACCTATCCTCTCACGCGCATACGTATATGTTCTCTTGGGCCGAAATATAGTATGCCGTCGCTCAGCTTATCAGAACGGTTGCTCATCATCCTACAGTTAAAGTCATTCGAAGCCTTCTCGCGGCAGCTAGCGTCTGGAGACATGACCATGTTACCTGAAATGCACGCCATCACGAGCGGACTCAAAGTCCTATGCACGGCGACAACTATGGACGACATCGAATCGGCGAGACGGTCCATGGGCGGGCACGGGTACAGTGCCTTTGCAGGAGTAGGCAAGCTCTACGCGGATTACCTTCCCAGCGTGACGTAGGCTCCTCTCTTCTGTTGGGGTGTACGGTGTCACTGATGCATCGGCAGGTTTGAAGGAGAGAACTTTGTTCTAGACAAACAAGGTCCTGCGCGCAGCGCTCAAATCCTCAAAGAGCGATGCCTCATCGCATTCACCCTTTTCGCAGTATCTTCGTCTTCTTCATGGAGAGCAGCAACTTCCCATTTCTTCATGGCAGGACCCAGCCGAAGTCGTGCTGCTGCTCGAATGGCGTGCTGCCTCGCTGGTGAGGGATGCGGCGGAGGACTGATAATGACTCGGACACCAGCATCACGCAACGAGTTTCGAAGGCCGTTGCTGAGGCATTTGTGGCGACCCAGGTAATGGAGATGATCAGTGCTGCAGAGAGCTCGTTGAGAGCTGAGGATGCCTTGGTGCTGAAAGGGCTTTTCATGCTTGTAAGCAGGCCTCCATCTTCTACTTGATGAGACTGACAGGACTTTCTGTAGTACCTCCTATCTACAGTCGAAGGATCCTTGACAGATTTCTTGACTTTCGACCTCATCAAGGGAGGCCAGACAAAGAGCCTACGAAGGGCAATTTCGAAGTTTTGTCAAGAGCTACTTCCGAATGCGATTGGGCTTACGGATGCGTTTGGCTTCTCAGATTGGGAGCTCGACAGGTTTGTGTTTGACTTTATCTTGACGGCGATGGTTAGGACTGATAGTGACATGTGCAGTGCCTTGGGTGTATACGATGGGAGGGTATACGAGGCGCTTTGGGCCCGGGTGCAGACAGAGCCTTTGAATAGGACGGAGGTACCTGAGGCATACGAGGTTGGTGGTTTACGACCTGTCTTTCCGAGTTTTCTTCTGATCTAATGGTCTGAAAGGGGTCCATCAAACATATACTTGAGCGGGGACGACGGTTAGCGAAGCTGTGACATATACCCGCAAGGATACTTCTATGAATGAATCGTTGATGTACGGGCACATGGTGTAGTTGGTTTATCACGCCCGCTTAGCATAAGGTGCACCGAAGTTCTTCCGTGCGGGAGGTGTTGGGTTCAATTCCCAATGTGTCCATCTGTTTTTGGTTTTATTTTATACGATACCGTTGACACTTATACACAGTACATGCTATGTCCCACGACTCACGAGTCATCACAAAGTTGGCTATTCAATACTTGCCATGATTTTTGTCTTCTCTGTGTTGGCGAGTCACTATGGGAAGTTAGTCGAAGTTCAAAATGTCCCTGACCTGTTGCGTGAATGCAGGTAAGCACTTCGCTACAGTTTGTTCACTTGGAATTCTTTACTGCGCTTTATCCTACATTTTTTTTTGGTGTTGGTGCTATGTGGTGACGCGGTGCACAGAAGTAGCCGAGACAAGCGTAGAGGCATCTCATGACCAGGAAGGTAGAAACTGAACCGCATCGACGTGTCAAAGATGTGCAGTCATGACCACAGCAACCAGGCTAGCGCGTTCTCAAACTGGTGGCCGGAATATTTGTGGGAACAAACAGTCAAGTACTGGTGCGAAGATTCTCAAGGCCATGGTGTAGCATCGGGCATGGTAAGCACCCAAACACTGCTCCTATTCTCTACTAAATGGATAGTGAACAGGTTCTGAAAAAGCGGAAAGTCGAACCCCGCGCTCTGCTTGGCACATACTACTGGATATGGGGCGGCGGTATGGGAGCGGATGACGAATTGGCTGCAGAAGAGGATATGGAGGGGCATCTCACCATAACGTCCTCGAAGAAATCCAACGTCGCATTGAAGGATATTAATGCGACATTTCAAGTTGGTGTGGAGAAAGGTAGCTTTCGAGGACTGAAGCTACAGAATCGGTCTACCCCCAACTGCTTTGTCATGAAGGAGTCAATCATCGATGGTATCGAGGACACCGGGCAATCATTGTATTGCTGTATCTGAGGAGGTCGACGATCGAGGGAATCCGTATGTGATTTTTGGATATGATTACGGGTCCGGGAGGGTGCCATGAAGGGGGAGGATTTTATGCTTTTGTGGCGAAGAAGGACAGTGCGCGTATGTCAGCAGCCGAGCTTCATCGTTTAGGGATCTATCTTGATGCTCAAGACATGGAAGACTGAGGCACTTGGTGTCAAGGAAGAGGACGTGGACGAAACAAAGTCGGAAGCTGGATCGGAATGTCACTGTCCAATTATTGTCTGAACATAAATCATATAGTCAGACTGCATGCTAAGTTCGTACAGACGTAACTAAGACCTGGGGTCCAGCAGCAGTGTGTGTATTACTAGTGTATACTATTGTGCGTGGAAGAATGAACAACGTCCATCAACGGTGACCAAACAGAAATAGACAGTAATTGCGGCATTACACTTGATCTGCATGATCACAGATTGAGACGTTAAATTCAAGCGCAGTTGCCGGCATAGCTAGTTTCGGTGTTTGCGACCATAGAGCCCTTGAATGTGGCAAAGCTGGAGCGGTCATCCTGGTTGGTGACGACAGATTCAATGCTAACGGCCCCTGGAAGCAAGAATAAGTCATATCACGCAGACAGACACTTGGGAAAACACTGCGAACATTTGTAGTGACCCTGTGTCTTATCATCGTAGTTGAACCAAATCCAGCCTGTAGCGAGATAGCGGATGTTTCCAGTCGCTTGAATGTTGCAGGTCTTAGTGCTAGTCTAAGATAACAGTCAGTTCGGCTGGGAATGGCGAGCGAAAAAAAAGCTAACCGTAGCGGTGCAAGTCTTGCCTTCTGGAGCAGTAATTTTTAAAGTGACCTTGCTCACGTCGTTGTAGGACACGTCGAAGCTAATGGCATGTCTAAGCATACGCGCTGTAGCCCCGAAAAAGGTACAACATACGTGCTTGAAGTAGTATCTGTAACCTCGGTAGAGATCGTCAACGCCTCAGTGACCTCAGCTACCTCCGGAACGCCCACTTTGACCGTCAGAGTGTTTGAAACACCGATCGTTGATGCCGCTGAATATTGATTAGATCAATGAAAGAAATACTCGGGGAGAGATATGCGAAGACATACAACTAACGGTGTAAGAAGTATCGGTGTTAAAGCCTTGGTCCACTTCGATATCAACTTCGCCGGACGTGCCAACCAGGGTGCCCGCAGAGGAGGTTGTGTGCGTCTGGCAGACCGGGTCGCCTGTCTTTGGGTCAAAACGAGATTGTAAGCACCATAATTATGAACGAACCGGAGAAGCTGAGTTGGACAACATCGTCAGTGATGCAGACTTGTGCGGGGCGGTCAACATACTAAACAAGAAGAAGATCAGATCGTTGATTCCAGGAGCAAAAAATCAATCTTACATCTTCAGGGTTGGTAACAATGTTGCGGGAGCCATCGCCCCAGTTGTCATTGGCATATTTCTCAATAGCATCCCACCCAGAAACTGAACATGGCTCGCTTAGCATCGGGTAAATGAAGCAAAGAAAGGAATTCACTGGTTTTGGCTTCGTCGATGGAAAGTTGCGTGCATTGGCTAGCAGCACGACGATCGACGTTGTTTGACTGGGAATCTACAGGATATCTCCCATAGAGAGAGCCGTCACGCTTGAAGGCGAGGTAGTGGCCTCTTGCCTCGTCGACTGCAATGTGGGCAATATCTCTAGGGAGGGACCGGACGATCTCGCTGAAAGGCAAGGCAGCGGCGCCAGAGAGGGCAGTCAAACAAGCAATCAACTAAAAATGTATTAACAGAGCTGGAGATAAATAACAAGCTGGCACTCACAGCAGCGGAACCGAACATCGTATAGGGAGATGGAAAGGATAGTAGAAAGAAACGAGGGAAATTTCGCTCAATCAAAGATAGCGAGAATCGAAAAGAGAAAGTGAATACAGGTCGATAATTCTCTATAACACGACTTAGCACGCTTTTATACAAGAAGCTACGTTCCATGATATCAACAGTGGATACATGATGGCAGATTACTCACTAGGTCGTATGTTTCGGAGCAGCGTGCGCATCCATACTACAGTGTGTGGAGTTTGGATTGTCAGGATACGTTTCCGATTGCCATTATGCTCAAAGCGGTTCACTGAGAAAGAATACTGCACAGCCCGTCGCATGGATACACGATGCGCTGCACGAAAATCATCCGCGGACGTAGTCTCGAGCGCCGAGCACGGTAACGGCCACCACCATTACATCACGACAATATTCCAGTCGACAGCGACGCATGCATGAGAGAGTCAAACCATCGGTAGTTGTTTATTATGAACACGCAACAACCTATCCTGACAGGTAAATTTAATTTTCCCAGTAGTTATCGAGCAACCGTAAGTACAATTTCTCCAATAACTATATGGTGCAGTGCGCTTAATGGCCGCCTCTGATGTGCAGTGGCCAAATTCCCGGAGGGAAATTTTTTTGAAACTTTTACGCTGATTTGCCGCAATCTGGCAGTAGATTGAGTGAAGAAATATATTGCATGTGGACTACAGTACAACTGGTAAATTTGTGCATGAAACGAGACCATTATCTGGCTTCGATAGGAAACCAAGTATGATGGCGGCCGTCAGGCCGGCCAAAATTTTGGGGTGTAACGCTCCCCAGAAATGAAACGCACCCCCCGTTATGCGTTACAATTGCAGTTTTAGGAAACGAAACGGCACCAGCGTTACGCGTTACGTTTCATTCATACAAGTACATACAGTAATAGCAGGGTGGCAGGTCCGGCCCGCCCGTTGGCCAAATTGGATGTGAACGACACCCTCTATCTCACGCTCCACGAAGTTTTATCGAAATTCCTCTTGTCAATCGTCTTGTCTTATCAAAATAACGCGTTTGGCAAGAGCAAAAAACAATCGGCTAACCCCAAGTTCGGTTCCTGGCTTTGCACATTAGAGGCGGTCACTAAGCGCACTGCACCATAGTAGGGCTGTCAACCTGTCTCTCACGTCGCAACCGATGATAGGACCATGTGCGTCGTCTGTCGTCTGTCCCCTTTACCTCCCTGGCCACGTATTAAGATAATTTTGTATCATTAAATAAGTAGATAAATAGATACATGTAATATTTGAATATATATAATCAACAATAAAATATGTGCCGGTGGGCGGGCACGGCGGGCTGTAGGCGTCGACGGTGGCCATCGCTATCAGGTATGGTCGAAACGGGGACTGTGAGGACGTGGGGATTATTGCGCTGCCAAAAATGGTGAAACATGCAGGAGAGGGTCGGCGTCGCCCGCCGTCCGCATCCCGACCTCGCTTGCATCCATCCGCCCTTCTGCACCTCTCCGGCACACCCTCACCTTCCGCTCCATCCCTCGGCTATGACTTTATAAGACTCTGCTTCATGCTCGAAGCCTCCCCACCCCTCACGCCATCGCTGTCGCCATCGTGACCGTCGTCGTCGGGTGTGCGTCGCTTTCCTGGCTGCAGATGGCGGCCGATGTTGTTTTTCTGGTTGGACCTAGTATTGTTAGTGCATTTGCAAGCTGGGGTCGACGGCGATTGACCCCGATTTCGATGCCGGGGTAGGTCGTAACAGGAATGGGATTGGGCATCGTGGTTGCAGCAGGCGTTGGTGGGCGTAGTTAATGGCAAAGGTGGTGGTGGCGTTCCTCGTCGTTCGGGATGGAGCTAATAATGCTGCCTCGCGTGAGGGCTTACGCGCGGCCAGTGGGTAGGAGCACGATGCATGATATCCGGCTGTTTGGGGGCCACCGATGCGTCAAAAGTATCTATAAAGTTTGTATTAACATGATAAGTAAATACAATATACCTTGGGCCCATTGAAATGGGCAAGGGAGGCGGACGGGGAATTATGCGATAGGCGTATGGTGAGGGAAAGAAGCAGAAAAGAAGTTGCACAGCCACTCGATCACTCTACGGTTTCACGGACCGGAGCGATTGAGCGAGCGGAATGCATGCTCGGGATGCATCCTCTGCTCGATTCATCCCTTCTGCGGCCCCAAAAATCATCGGAATATAGTATTATAGCAGTGTAGAGTATATTTATGTGGGTTTTTGTGTATGAAATTCATCCCAACCTTGATTAATCTATGTTCCATGGTCGAAAAACCGCATTTTGGGCCATTTGTTAGAGTATATCTGTTTTATGCAGT